TTAACGTCTTTTTAAGTCTTTCTAAGTCTATATGCAAGCCCTAACACAAGTATTCATATAATAAACAGAATATTTCATCAATAATAAATATAACTATTATAATCTATGCAATAAGTATATCAATAGTAACATCAATATAAATCATTAACCAGTAATTGTTGCTATGATACATATACTAGTGTTGCCATATGATTAATAAAAATAAAAAAATATCAGCAATAATAGTAATAAAAACTCCTTGATCATATAAAGAATTATTTAATTATTAAGCTTTGTGTAAATATAATTAAATTGTTTTAAATGATTACATTAGAGACAGTAACAGCAGTAATTATAAGTAAAATCATCAATTTGAATGCGAAACATCGCACGCGCCGGTCGAGTCACGCGTACCAAGTTCAAACGAACAATGGCCGCGCCGGTAAAAATGGCGCGAGCTTTGATTCACCATACCATTGTAATACGGGGGGCATTACAAACTTAGTATTTAATACTTATTTTATATTATTTATATGAGAATTACATTTATGCTCTCATATTGATTATTCACAATATAACCTTGTACTCTACTTAAATTAAAAATCAGTATTTAATACCATAACGTCAGATAATATGTAATTTTTTCTCATCTTCTTTAACTATATTAAAATACTTGCTTTATTAAAAGTATATGAGTAAATATCTAAATATTATATGTTAAATCTAAGCAAAATCTAGTTCAAAACCCGACTATACGTAATAATACAAAACGAGCAACAAGTGGTACTCCCCTCGCTGTGGCCACCTGTCGCTACGTTTACATACTGTTCGTGTTACCTGTTGTAATGCCTATTATAAAATGATTGCTCGGATAACGTGTACATTATAACGGTACTGTTTCACTACTTAGGAAATATTTTTTTTTATTTTTATTAACGAAGCTGTATGGTGTAAAACCTTTGCCTTCTTAATACTTAAAAGAAAAACAAAATTTTGACGTTTAGAAAGAAAGAAAGAAAAGACATTTATTGACATACACACAAAAAAAGGATATAAAAACAACATTACAAAAATAAAAAAAATAAATATAATTGATATGAAACTTGTGTGCAGTCCATGAGGGTTTTTTATCCCTCTGTTGATTTTCATCTGTCTCCCTTGTGGCCATGTTAGTGGTATAGGTTTTTTTTTTAAATCCTAGCCGATGACCGTAAAGTACAAGATAAAACACTTAATCAACACCCAAATTTGAGTGAGTTAATGAAGGTTGTATAGCCCGGTCCATCCGCGCGCATCTCCGGTCCATTGTGCCGTTACCATTCACGATTCGCCGTACCAAAGTGTATACCAATTTTAACCTCGATTGTTTCTAACTGGCAAAGTCTACAGACATTTTGAATATGCCAGTTTAGAAATAGATATAAAGACAGTATTCACTAGTTAGTAAATAAATTAGTTCAAACAAATTTAAATTCAATAATATAGCCTTGATAATTACACAGATAATAAATAATTAATAAACGTCATAAGCCTCACACAAGTCAGAGGTGGCCAAGTGGTTAAAAGGTCCCCCTCTCATGCATGAGGGCGCGGGTTCGATGCTGGCAAGTACCAATGTGATTTTTCCGAGTCATATGTACTTTCTAAGAGTATTTAGACATCACTGATTAATGCATTCCCAAAGAGGGTTGATGTCAGGCAGGCGGATCATAAAAAACAATTAGCCAAAACTATTAACAACATGTAAGGCAGACCCTGGCTAAAGCTGGGAAATAGCCAGGTAGATGTAGAAGAAGCTAAGCCTAACACAGAGATAATATTTACGTTTTATATCTGTTTAAAAAAAATAATATATGTTAATTATATTTTAATATAAAAAACATGAAAAAAAATGTATTAAATAAAATAATACTATTTTAAATTCCAAAGTAAAATAATATGAATACAACATAGGCTATGTAAAAAAAACAATGTACAAGTCAAACTATTTAGCAACATCCCAGGTGGACGGATGGTCATTGCATATACAATAATTAAAAACGAAATCTCCCGAACTAATTACCTTAATGACGGAAACGGAAGAGTTGTGAGTTTTTGTTGATAATTTTGACATACCACAAGTAAACTACACCATCCAATGATATTTAAAATTGATTTTTTCATACGAAACAACAATTTAAACAACATTCTTTGAATAATTCTCTTTAAAGAACGCGTGTACGCAACGCTTAATGCAATTTATTATCATTGTATACACATATAAAGTCATTTATACGTACATAGTCATATATATGTCATTTTATTTAAAATATCAATTGTTTATAATATGATAGCAATCAGAAATCAATAAAAAATGTAACAGAACATGACTATACATATAGTCGTATTAAATTACGTAAATATAGAAAAAAAATTGCATACACATAGAGAATTTTTTTTTCCTTAGAAATGTGATTAAATCAATAGTAATTCAAATATTTTCTTATGATTATTAATCAGTAAGCAACGCAGGTGTTCTTGAAGTCCGAGACGCATTTTATTCATATTTAATATACAATGAACATATATACAGGGTGACTGGTGAATTACTATCGATACTTGAGGACGTGATATTTGACGATCATATATGACAAAATAAAAATTAATATAACGTAAATATTAATAAACTTCTAAGTAAAGTTAACCAAAAGTTATGTAATTAATTACGCATTGTGTGAACACCCTACAGATTAAATATACACACACACCCACACACGCGCGTGCGGCGGCGTAGTGTTGTATCAGCACGCCGCCGAACGCGTCCACACTTGGAACACTTGGAACGTGTCAACACTTTATTTATTTATACGGAAATTTGGTCAAAAATTAAGTACCTATTTTTTTTTACATAATTCGAATGAGAATCATGTACCGAGTATTCTCCTTAAATATTGATAGTAATTCACCAGTCACCCTGTATATTTGTTAACAGAGAAATTCTTTTTATATAGCATTCATAATTATAACTAACATTTCTATTAACTAGTTTCTAACTGCGGTTTTGCTCGCGATTTTAATTGTTCATAGAAAAAGTTGTCTTTATTATGAGAGCTGTTCGTATTTAATGTTATATAATATTACAGACATACAGTGAAACTTTATTTTTTATAGTTTTAGAATATATAAGGTTAGATTTTATATAAACTTAAAGATTTTTGAAGATTCTTTTGACAGTAAAATTTTTATTTTATTATGCCAATGAATGATATAACAATAAATTTAACAAGTAAATCCACATGAAAATACTGTCAAAATAAGTATTAGACAATATTAAAAGTAACAATTTGTAATGTTTCAAGAAAACAATTAATTCGATGGTTTGTTTATTTTAATCTAAAATTCAAATTTAAACTAATTTCTATTCATTAATAAAAAAGTTAAAAAACGTCATTTCAGATAGGAACAGTCGGCATATTACTATAAATGTTTAGGCTGTATATATTTTGCTATCGTATTTGATGAAATTGAAAAAAAATTATATACAGAAGTAATTGATTCTTTGTAAGACAAAAAAATATTAACATAATGATATCTTTCGCTAATGAGACGTAACTTTAAATTTCATATAATTTCTCTCTCAGGAACTTATTCCCGCTTATGAAAACTATTAGAACATTCTAAAAATAATAATATAGGCTTATTACTTCTACAACACGAATACTTCTCATACTATATAACCTTTGAAAGCAATAAAAGTGAATCAAATGCAGCTGTATATGAATAAATCAATTTAATATATATTATATACATATATATGTTATATATATATTAATTTAAACGCCATCAAGTAGCAATAATGATCATGGTGCATTTAAATGATATCAGTGCTTCAGCTAGATCGAAGCGGCGACCGTGGGAGAGAAGTACAAATCTCAACATCTCAGAACTGGTCGGCAGGTGTGCAAGCACGCACACACACACACACACCTACACACACACACACACGCACCAAACCAGACTCACTTATGAATGAAGCGAGCGTCCGCACACAACACATACAACGCTATCTCACTTGTTTATCACTGATTTATTTTATTCGTATCCATCGGGACTCAAGAAATCAACTATTAATTTGTAACTAACTACATACTCGGTAAAATGGACGCGTTAAATAAAGACATATAATACCGTGTTTGATTAGAAGTGTACCGCTGATACTAAAACTTTCACTATATAAAAAATAAAACGAAAATCCATAGACAATAATTGAAAAAGCATAGACAATAAATATGACATATGATGACGTTTATTAAAAAAAACTCAATATTAAGCCGTTCAAGCTGTAACATACATAAAATTCTATTCTCTAATAACAATATTATACGGAATACATATATTTATATATACGTAAAACTATATATACTGTTATTACAGTATAATCAGTGATCAGTAATTTCAACGCCGTCAGCTACCTAACTAATCAAACCCTTTAACTACGGAATGGAATTGCTGCTCATTATCCTCGAGCCCCAATTAACTGCACCCTAGAAGCTAGAACCGAGTTTAACATCTGTTAATTCTATACAACTATTACTATACAAATGTTATTAAAATCATTAAAATATATAGAAATTGTCAGTTCAGAAATTTAACAGAGTTATATTTTAATTTAATTTATGTATGTATGTGATTTCCGAACGTTCCGAGATCATTGGATAAGTTCTAAATAGTTTTATCAATAAAGGTCCTATACTTTATCTGTTTATAGGAATTTTTATCTACCACCGTGTAATTGGTGAAATACGTGATTCTATAGATACCTTTGTTGTTTTTATTGCGCTTACCTTTTATTTGATTGTCGTCGAACTTTTGTATGAACATTCGAATAAAATTTACATAAAATGCTTCAACAACTTTAGATGTTCTAAATTTAAACTGAGCTTGAACTTTTTTTTTAACTTGTGTTTAAAATATTCATCCTAGTTCTTGTATTTTTTTTTATTTTAATGATAGTTTTATATAATCTGTGCGTTATTTCGCAGACATCCCGTCACAGGTGCCGCCGCTCACGCCCGGCACCAACAAGAAGATGGCTGAGGCCTTGAAAGCCACCTTCGCCTCCTGGGAGAAGGAACAGTTACGCCTCGGGGTGCCCAAAGGTATACATGTAATTCAAGTATTTTTTAATATACTTTTACTCTACTTCTCAGTACTTATCTATAAGAATCTATATGATTAGTACATCTTCGCCCACAGACCAGATAATTATAATTAAGTTTTGTCAATGGAGATAGTAATGAATTTCGTCCTGCTTGTGTCTGAAATCAAAAGAAGTTGAACTAAATGAAAATATAACAGTTTTCCTTATGAAAACAGTACAATATTTGTATATGCGTATATTACTAAGGTATGCAAAACCTATATTATTAAAGAAATATATATATATGTATGTATGTATGTGGAGTAGGCTTCTTTTTATAGCTCCAGAATAAACTTCAAAGACAAGAACTAAATCATCGATAACATCTAACACAGTAACATCAAACAGAACAATTTCATATTTCTTTGAAATATTATATTATTCTAACATTAATTTTGCATTACACACTAATTTAGTTGTAGAGAAATTCAAGTGTTACCTCCAAAAATATATTTTTTTTATAAAATCTCTACTAATATTATAAATGCGAAAGTAACTCTGTCTGTCTGTCTGTTACGCTTTCACGCCTAAACCACTGAACTGATTTTAATGAAATTTGGCACAGAGATAGAGTTGACCTTGAGAAAGAACATAGAATGGTTTTTATCTCAGACTTTTAAAAGGTTCTCTTGGAAACGCGATATAACCGAACTCCACGCGGGCGAAGCTGCAGGCGGAAAGCTAGTTTTATATAATTCCTAAACTTAAAAACTTTATATTTCATTCTAATAATTAAAAAAATACAATTTTTAATATCAAATTTGTTGTGACAACATCATTCATTCATAAATTATTTCTATTCATTTCGTAATTTACATTTTTCTGATTGAATATAAATTCCGAAATTAGTATATCTTTGATTTACACACAACGACTTTCTGTCAAGAAAGAAAATGGCGGACACAAATAAAAAAAATACTCTAGAAGTTGAATAATCATAATAATAAGCAAATACTTTTTAAGGACCACAGATTAGATGTTAATCGAAATAGTAAGTTAAACATTTAAAATAAAATCATTTAAATATTAATATTTTTTTACATCTATGACTCACAGATCAGTCAATTTCAAAATTATTGTATTTTTAACTCACTTGTATGTCATAATTGAGTTACACCGACTCACGCTTGACCGGTAACATTTTATTCGTATTTCCAACCAAAAAGTTGACATTTAAAAAACTTCTAATCATAATAAATCTGGCCAATTTATAACACGACGGTTTATTAAATGTTATCTAGTTTATAAATATCCGTTATATACATTAAATTTTAATTAAAAACATAAATTCTTTTTTGTTATTATATTTTAGGTAATAAATTAATTATGGCTATACATAATATTTATCATTCGTCATAAACTAATAGGATATTTAATAATTATATATTTTTTAAATCTGGTAACATATATTTTTTTTTGGTCAACACTTGAGTTAGTTCGTAATCAGATCTAAAACTTTCGCGGGTATTCATTTAAATGAAATGAATATTTTCGAATAACTATGCATTATTTTAACTACACACTCCCGACATTTCATTTACTTTGCAGCAACCGTGATGACGGGCAGACGAGATGAAAGATAACTTAAATCCTTGTAAGAATTCTGATATCATAACTTGATGAGCTTAAAAATCTACGAAATCTTTATTTTTTTTTTAAGATACTTGTAATTAAAATTCACTTAAAAAACCATCTTCACGAACTGGCGTCGAATCTGCGAACACCAGAATTAGGATATTAAATAAAAACAAAATATTAACACTATCAAATAAACATATAAATTTAAATGAAACAAATATTTTTCGGATGTACTACGTGATTTTATTTATGACTATATACTACATACTCCCGACGTTTCGTCTACTTTACAGCAACCGTGATCACGGGGAGACGAGATGATCATCTCATACATCCGAAAAATATTAGTTTCTTTTAATAAATAAAACCCGCGAAAATCTTAGATCTCATTAAACATATAAAGTTCATCAATACATCCCTACTAATATTATAAATGCGAAAGTAACTCTGTTTGTCCGTCTGTTACGCTTTCACACCTAAACCACGGAAATGATTTTAATGAAATTTAGTACAGACATAGTGTTGACCTTGAGAAAGAACATAGGATAGTTTTTATCCCAGACTTTTGAAAGGTTCTCTTGGAAACGCGATATAATCGAACTCCACGCGGGCGAAGCTGCGGGCGGAAAGCTAGTTTGTATATAAAAGGATCAATCAGTGGTATACTTCGTTCGTACAGTCCTTACGTCACAGTTGATCGTATGCCACACGTCACACGTGAGGTGAGGTGGTCGCCCGTGGTGACAGGAAGTGCGTGCGTCTGCGGCGTGTCTATCATCACTTCCGGTCGTAAACAGGACCTGCATACGACTTGTATCTGAAGATAAATAGGATTATTTTAATATGTAGCCATTCTGAACTTAGATTTACATGTGCAGATCTATTCTTAAGCACAAAGTCAATGGTGGCCTACTGCCTAGTGGTTAAAAGCTCGCCTCTCATGTATGAGGGCGCGGGTTCGATCCTGGCAAGTACCAATGTGATTTTTCCGAGTCATATGTACTTTACAAGAGTATTTAGACATCACTGATTAATGCATTCCAAAAGAGGGTTGATGTCAGGCAGGTGGCCGGTTGTAAGAACAATCAGCAAAAACTCTATTCTATTAATAAAAAAATTGCCAGTAAGTTCTTATCATTCGTTTCAAAACAGTATTTATAAGTTATATTTGAACTCAAAAACCGTAATTTTAAATAAATAAAAATAATAAAATTCAAATGTTTAATCCACTATAGTCCAAGTCTTCATTGTCACTACATACTAATCGTCTCCCGTTTCTCTTCCAATTACCCACGAACACTGTAATGTGCGAATATTTATAAATTAAAAAACTATTTACTCTCCGTATGCCGTAACGATGCTTACTCAGACTAAGCTTCCTATAGAATAATTTAAAAATATTTTTGTAATCTAGTCATTTCGTTGTATTTGTCCTATCTATTTGTAGATACATAGATTGTTATAGATACATATTATTATAACATACAAATGGCTCCAACATTGTTAATAACGTATGACTCGGAGTCCTTGGTATTAATCTGTTCTAATAAAGATTTATGAGAACAATTTCATAATCATATCTCCTGACTTTATTGAATCATCTAAGTGGAGTCGAGAATTATTTTATTATGACTTAAAAAAAACATATGCATTTTTATAACACGGAATCTTTATAATTATTACTTTCTTATTAAAAACTAATACGATTTATAAATTGCTATTATTGAGACGAAACCTCTTAGCAATCAATGGATTCAAAGTGTGGATGTCGGGTCCATCGTTGCAGGGAGAGAAGCTTCAACAGTGCCTGGGACTTGCGACCCAGGTGTAGATTTAAAGCGCCCTTATCTAATGCCCGTTAAACGCTCACCAGTACCTTCCAAGCTCCTCTCTGCCTAACCAAAATATATAAAAAAAATAATGTAAAGAACAAATACAATTGAAATTTTAGATAGTTCTATTAAAACGTATATTCATTAACATAGGTAGATGTTATCCGACTGATCTCTCAGTTGACCATAAAATGAAAATGGCTCACAATAACCACATACAAGATACTATCTCACAACGGTTTTTAGTTAAATTAAACTACGTACGTCACCGGAATGAATCGAAATAATTAACTTGCTATATACATTAACTATATATATATATGTTGTAAAAGCATTGCTTAATGAGTCGTATTTTTGCAAATCCCTAAAAAACTTTAGAAGAGAAAAATCTGTAATCTATATATATAAAAGAAAGTTGTGTTAGTTTCACTACTTATAACTCAAGAGCGGCTGTAGGGATATGATCGAAAATTGGTGAGGAGATGGCTTGGAACCAGAAAAAGGACATAGGATATATACATAATTCTGTTCGATTGAAACTAAACTTTTATAAACAACTGGTTATTGTGGCTTTTATGATTGTATAGAGTTCGTCCAGTCAGCTATAGGTACATATGTTATTTATTCCAAAATTAACGCGGGCGAAGTCATGCGCAAAAACTAGTTCTAAATAATTTTAATATATATTGTGAGTATATTTTATAACGGTACTTCTATACAGCCTGTCATCCTTCACGAGGCTGGTCCGGGTGAACGCTCCGTGTCTCAGTCCGATACTAAAAGCCATAATTAAACCAATTATTCATTATTAGCCAGTTCAGGTACCGCTTTTCGCTCAGGAAAAAGTTCCAGCGACCCCCTCACTAACATTATTTGCATCGATCCTACATCTTTACTCAATCTATGGACCTTTTTGATGTTTTTAATTCCACCAATTATGCTATAGCTAATGAAAAATTATTATATCCCTACTAATATTATAAATGCGAAAGTAACTCTGTCTGTCTGTCTGTTACGCTTTTACGTCTAAACCACTGAACTGATTTTAACGAAATTTGGTACAGAGATAGAGTTGACCTTGAGAAAGAACATTGGATAGTTTTTATCCCAGACTTTTGAAAGGTTCTCTTGGAAACGCCATATAACCGAACTCCACGCGTGCGAAGCTGCGGACGGGAAGCTAGTATATTATAAAGTCAAATGATTAGAAAATGTACTGAGTATCTGCAACGTATAATCGTATATAATAAATTCGGTCCATCGTAATTGCAAACCACTCTAAAGTTTCGACAGCACATTGACACGCGATCAAAGACTATTGATTTGCTTTAATGTGGAAAGAATTAGAAATCACTTTTATCGTTTAGAGGCATGATGCTCCAAGGTCGCGGTGCTTCCTGCGCGTGCGTAAGTTCCGCTGTTGGTCAACGCTTCGGCTAATTGTGCTCGACGTTTCTTCATACGATTACTATTTATCGACAATTAGCTATAATCATTACTTCGACAGATTGAGAAATATTATGAATTGGTAGTCTGTTTTTGTCTGAATAGGATTTAAATCTCATGCTATGATTCATCTCATTAGTTTGTTTATCAGTAATTAATAGTTAAGTTCGATCCTGGTAAGTACCAATGATTTTTCGTCATATGTACTTTCTCATAGTATTAAGATACGACTGACATACGGTGAAGGAAAACATCGTGAGGAAACCTGGACTTATAATTACATAATTATAATTTTGAAATCACCAATCCGTCTTGAGCAAGTATGGTGATTAATGCTCAAACCTTCTGCATGTGAGAAGAGGCCTTTGCTCAGCAGTGGGCTCTATGATGAGTTAATAGCTTGTCTTTTTGTTCTTAGACCCTCGTCAATGGAGTGAGGCGGCTGTCACTGCGTGGCTTCGTTGGGCGGCTCGTGAATTCTCCCTGGAAGGCGTTGCTCTACAGCAATTCGCGCGTGCTCAGGGCAAGGATATATGCGCGATGGGAAGGGAAGAATTCGTCGCCAGAGCACCCGCTTTCATGGGCGATATACTTTGGGAACATCTGGAGATTCTACAAAAAGGTATATTCAAATGACCAAAACATATATATCATGTATAGCTTTAGAAGAAAATTGTCTCGTTCATAGACTATATGTTTGTTAAAATTTTAATAAAACAAAGGCATTTCACAGATGTGGAGAAAGAACGCTCCCTACTGGCGAACGTACCTCCAAATATGTATGAAAGCAACGTCTGTCTGCCGGAATTATCTGACTACATCCCGCCTCCCGCGCACCACTACAACAATAACAACAATAATACAGGTATGTACATTATTATAAAACACGAAAAACTTCAACTAGAAAAGCCTAAAGTATGTTTAAAGACATTTTATATCTTAAATAAGTGACTTAGAATATCTCATACGAAATTACATTAATCTCTTAATCCATCGTCAAACAATTTTGTCATTAATAAATCTATCTTCAATTGTTTAAACAATGAAATAAATATTAATAATACAACAATTACATACGGAATCATCTTAATTGCTTATATTTTAATACTAATTATGAAGTAACAAAGACGCCATTAAGTCTGTCGTCGTGGGAAAGCGTTGATAACATTATTCTTTAAAAATCTTAAACAATATAGTGATAAAATTACAACTAGAAAATAGATATAGATAAGGTTTCAACTAGAAGATAAATAGATAAGAACTCGAATAACCTTAAACCTCTGACATCACTAATATTCGGGTTTAACATCCACTTTGATGCTAAAAGTTTATTCACATAAAACTATTATAATCTCTGAAGAATCCTGCTTAATATCAAATGTATATATTGATATAAAAAGCACTTTTATAGCTCGTAAATCATGCAGCGGTGTGTTTTGACTTTGAGGATCGCTACTGAAATAATAAAGCAACTGAGAAATATGTCCTTGTTACATACGGGTGGTCTTCACGTTATTTAGAAGCTTAAAAACATTAAATTATACTAAATTTATAACATTTTTATACATTTTTTTAGTTCCATAAAATATATTACGTATAAGTCTGTGCTGGCCTAGTGGTTAAAAGGCCCGCCTCTCATGCACGAGGGCGCGGGTTCGAACCTGACCCGGGCTAGTATCAATGTGATTTTTCCGAGTCATATGTACTTTCTAAGACATCATTGATTAATGCTGATTCCAAAAAGTTGATGTCAGGCAGGCGGCCGGTCTTAAAAACAAATAGCCAAAACTATTCACAACATGTAAGACAGACCCTGGTTATAGCTGGGAAATTTCCAGGTAGAAGGAAAATATATTACGTTTCGATGTCTTATATGTGACTTCTCAACTCTTTTACAGGCCTGAGAAATTAACATATATTTTGCTTGTATATTTTAAACAACTACATGTAAATCGTTAATAGATAACATATAATATAACGGTTAAAAGGAACAAATTAATTGCTTTATTATGTAAGTGTGTCATGAATTCATCAATCTTATCTCATTCGATAATTAAGGATATCCTTATGGGCTTAAAGGTCAGAAACTAAAAAACTGTTTGTTATATTTACGTATTACATTCACATATAAATTTAACATAGAACATATTATAAATTAAGTTGGGGGCTTCAAATATTTTTCCACTCCGTCGGGCGTGTAGTAAGACGACCTTGAAACAGATTTTCCGCTCCCTTTCAGACGGTATATTTTACATGTGTCTTCAACAATAATATTACACCATATATGAATAAAGACTTAAAAATAAATATCGTCAAAATAAACAAAATTAATAATTAATAACTATACAATTACGCGGCGAGCGAATTATGTTGATGTGTTTATGAAACAAATAAAACAGAGATGAAACGTTGTGGAGATTATAAACATGTTTATGTTAATTGTGGCTGGTTTAACAAAATATTACACTATTAGTGAATGTCCCTTTGATCTGACTTTCAACTGTAAGACTTCTTAATTGTCGTCGTTAACTCATTTGGATACTCGTCTTACAAATACGAAGTTATTACGACTACAGATATACATGGGACTTTTTTAATTACTATATATTTTTATGATATATAACTTTGTCAATATATAAATATTTTTTATCAAATCTTTTCTTATAAGCACTATATATATTCTTGCTCAACTTTTTTGTTAAACTAACACGAATTTCAATACGTCATTTCCAAAAAAAATATTTTTATTGATACATATAAATTAAACTTAATAAGATCGCGTAATATAATTATTAATTAAAAGGTCGAATAAAAATAAACTCAGATTCATTATAAACAGATAGTAAAGGCTGTGATTTCACTGATTTCAGTTATAGCCTTAACAATAGTTTAAGGTGAAGTGTCCCTACCACTCACCAGTGTACCGACGAAGGAAAAGCAGTGCAGTCTTCACACACGCTCTGTACTAGCTGCTTCTTTATCTAAATATTTAGCCAAAGATATATACACGTAAAATTATTAAATAATTCTCCAAAAAAACCAAAGTAATTTGTGCTGAAAAGTTTTTTTTAGTTATTTTAAAAGTGAAGTGTATTGATCTATCTATCGAATGTGTTGCTAACTATGGGAATATTAGACTCTGGTTAAGCTATGTTCTTACATCCGAGTTCACGAGCCAAAGAATCTACTGATTTGGAATCACTTATGGTCTGGCGTGGTGAGTATATATACATCCTTTAAACTATAAGAAAATGACGAAATAAAACGATTTTATTAATAATAACAGTAATTTTTTAAACATTACTCTATACCTATATTGTAAGAACGTAAAATGATATAAAAATAGCAGTAGAAGATGCCTGCCGTACGAATAAGACCTCGTGTCAACTGAACCGATGAAATATAATGCAAGAGTACCAACAGCAAGGTTGTATACTCAGTATATAGTATTTAGCAATTGCAGTATTAAAAAGGCGTGTTTTGAGCGCGTGCGCAACTAGCAGCGTTCATCCGCACTGTCGCAAGCGTACATCCTCGTTGCGCTAGCGCATAGCCGGATGCGCATCGGAACACCCTTACGAAATATAAAACTTACAATGGCTTGGATGATTTCATGGTCAGTTATGATATTATAATTTAGTACTTGTAGATTGTCTCTTACTTTCATATAAATAATATATAAAATATATTTAAGATGGGAATTTCAAGTTAGGGTATATGTTATCCGACTGCGAATCAAACAGATTTATATTTTACGTGTATATGTAAATAGGAATTGTAATGGTTTTAATGTTTTCATCTATTTTAAAAGTTGGTTAACCCACATTTTTCTTAATAGATTAAACGAGTTAGTTTAAAAAGTATGACGCATTTTTTACCAACACAACATGAGGCGTAAAAGATATTTTTTATTACAAATCGAATATAATGTAAATATTTTCATAATAAATAATAATTTAATCGTCATTTAATGTATAGTGTGGTCAATCAGAGGAAGCTACCACTAGTAATACCGCAAACCACAGCACATCTCTGAATGAATGAATGAATGAATGAATGGAAGTTCCATTCCGTTCCTGAAGCTGTTAATTCCCCATCTCGCCATTAACGTTCAGCACGAGCTGTAAATCACAGGTCATCCTTATTAGCATGTTTACGAGCTACGAACTCTTCCAACCAATCATGTTAATTTATTTCCATAAACGATATGGGCTGTTAATATAGTGTTGACGCCCTGTATCCTGTACAGATTATACATACCTATAGATAATCTGACCTCGGATATATATGTAATTATATACATTCTAGCAGAATTCTATCGACTTATCTGGATTAACTTAATACTCTTTTAAGACGATCATTACAGATCATTAGTTTGAATTCTTTAAACCCACTTTCTATATAAACTCCTTTGAGGTTGGAACAATGGGCATCCATTTGAGAACCTTTGTTGCGAAACAATTAAAAAAAAAGTTATTCATGCAATACGAACACGTGCCCTTTGTGGGGATGTCAATAATGGACATTATTTACATGGCTTACAAACGGAGTGTGGACATGGAAAATATTGAGCTTTCTAAGATATCAATAAAAAGATACGTGTCGCTTGAAGCGGCCACATCCGGCAGCCATTGTACTTCAACTGACTTCCGGTGCAACCCGATACACACTCCTGCGCACGTGCGGGACCTTCACTAAATTCGAATTACGAAAATCGACAAAGGATGATAGAACAAGGACAAAAATTAAAAAAAAAAGGTATATCTTTTTAAACCTCAAAAAAAATGCGTATAAAATAAATTGATAATTTACGTAAAGAATAATAAACAGCACGTTAATAACCTGACGTATTTAATTGAAGCATTATATTAGCATATCATCAATGAATTCAATAAAATTAATGAAATTTAATATAAAAAAGCATAAAGAAATTTAGGTTAAAAGTCCTTAAAAGACATACATAATCCGTACCAACTAAAAAAACATCCATTAAATAATGAACACAACAACATAAGTTATATCAAAAATATTTGTTATTCATACAAAAGGCTTTAAAATTCATAATACGCACTTAAGTAACCAGGTAAAAATACAAAGAGAATTTAGGGTTGGTGAATTAAAAGAGCAAGGGGTGCCTTTTGGACTGTTGAATAACACCCTCAGCCTTCAATACACTCTTAACAAGGACTTGCTTTACAATCACTTTACTTGTACGTACACGCGCCCTTGGTTCATCCCGTACTGATTTAATTTATATACCAAATATACCAAAGGCCAAAGGTCACAGTACAATACGATTTAATATTCAAGCGATTCTTATCGACGCCATTTCATTTTATTTACTTTTAAATTGTAAGTCCTATAGATAACGTTTCATTGGTTAATAAAATTTTATTTAACTTTTAAAAATAAAACTTCAGATACAACCATGACGATATAAAAGTTTGTGATAATTTTAATTCGTTACATATCTTTATTACTGCTTTTATTTCAAACTACGTACTTTGTGAATGTATTTTAGCAATTCAATCGATCGTATGAAGAGTTGTTACTTAATTACAATATACTAGCTTTCCGCCCGCAGCTTCCCCCGCTTGGAGTTCGGTTATATAGCGTTTCCAAGAGAACCTTTCAAAAGTCTGGGATAAAAACTATCTTATGTTCTTTCTCAAGGTCTACTCTATCTCTGTACCAAATTTCATTAAAATCTGTTCTGTGATTTAGTCGTGAAAGCGTAACAGACAGACAGACAAACAGACAGAGTTACTTTGGCATTTATAATAGGTATTAGTAGGAATTCAGTCAGTCTGATATTTTACCTTGATTACCGCTGTATTAAAAGCTTATTAGTTTAAATATAAAACA